GGTGTTAAGACGCTCTCCCAAGTGAGCTAACCGGCTGTCCCTATATAGGATCCGAACCCGTGGCCTTGGTGTTATCAGCACTGCACTCTGCCGAGTGAGCCACGGGCTGGCCCGTGATAAGGATTTTTAATAAAGCTAGATATAATACTGGATGATGGCAATAAATCTTACTGCTAAATCAGTTTGTACTAAATTTAGCATGTAAGCCCATTGAAGCAGTCATCTGGGATGGATGCTCTGAGGTTCAGAAAACCTGACTACAGGTTTTCTTTGTGGCATGTAGCAGAAGTTAGGAACCAGGAATCTGACAAGCAACACCTCTGACAGGCAGGCAACCTGAGCGCACAGAGGGGCTCAACCTGCCTGGGGCTCAAAAGCACTGTGCAGAACAAGAAATTGTTATCACTTTCATTATTAGTATACTGCATTGCTCTTGGCTCCTTAAATCTTTAGCAAGCTTTCCTAAATGCTGTCCTTTCCCCTCCAAACCCCCACCCCAGAATCAGGTGTGTGAACGGGAATATGTGTTGTATAATATGTGTGTTATAATAGCCAAGGTATCTAGGAAGAAAATACAAAAGAAAGGACAAATGCTGTTTGAGGAAAAGTCTTCCCCCTTGTTCTGCCCAAAGCCACCTAGAGATGGACTTAAGAATCCAAGACATCGGCATCACAAGCCTTTCCAGGGCTGAAGCAGAAAGGTCTCTCCTCACTTAACCTTGGCAGTCACAAGCCAGCTTTTGATTTTCTCCACTGCAGTTCAGTAAGGCAGAAATAATTACATGGACACACAGCTAGAAACTGTCAGCCCAACTTATTGTATCACCCTTGCATTAGGAAGAGACAGGCAGCTCCTAACTGGGTCACACTGTCCAAAGCTTTATGTATGCATCAGAGACAGCTGTGGAGAAAAACTCCTAGGACCACCTTTGTCACTGGTATTTCTCATTGGGTTGCTGTTTAATACACCTTTTAAGTTGTCCCTGAAATTGTCAGAGTGACTTCCTAGGGAATGCTGAATGTCTTCCACTGTGTAAGGCAGTCAGATCTGCAGTCAAGCTATAATTCTGGCTCCTCACAACTCCCAGCTATTCAATTATTCATCCCTGAACAAAATCATTCCTCAATTTGGCTTTTCTTTCAACTGAACTCTTTCTCTTTAGGGAAAAGAGGAATTTCCCTCATGGAGGAATTGGTATTGTCCATATAAGAGATCAAGTGGACTAGTGTGTATAGGGAAAGAGCATTGGGCTAGATTCTAGACCCAGCTCTGTTACCATCTAGTTATGTGACCCTGGGAATGTTATTTAACTTCTCTGGATTTCACATTTCCTCTGAGGTCTCTTCTAGTTTTAAGATTCTCTGATTCCAAGTGGACGTTTGGGCTCTATCACCCCAGAACTCTCCCGTTCAGCTGTTATGGTGAATAGTTTTATGTAACATAGCTTCTGGTATTATATCACACAAACTTGGTACGTGTTTCTTCTGCTGTTGACTTTTCCAGTCTTGGACCATGCCAGAGAGTATATTGGGGACCTGGCACAGCTCGATTCTGCCTAGACTTTTCAAAAAGCCAGATGGTATTGATTTTTGAGTGCCAATTGGTCCTGCTTCTACAAATTCTCTCCCATCCCAATCTAATAGTAATCACCCAATCTCACATCAATCTGTTGTTCAGGAAGCTGAGCCGGATTTGTACAAAAAGAATAGATAGACTTTGGAAACCTAGGCCTTTTCCAGGGTCCCTTCATGCTCCATGTAGACACCTTTCAGATTAGGAACTAGAATCCCAACCATCAGTCAATTAGCATTATCAAATAGGGGAGGCCAAAATTTCAGTACCTACAACTGATCTGCATAGGAAGGTCAAGATCTGAGGCAAGGAATTGTTCTGTGTGCTACGATTTAATTATGATGTTTTGATTCAGACATATTGGAAGAAAATATGAATGAGCCAACTCTCGGGACCAGCTGTCAAGCGCTTAGTTTGTAATCTGCTGTCATCCCACTTGTCCTAAGTGCTCCCAGTTTGACAGCTCACCAGCTAGTTAAGTGTTTGTTTCCTCCACTGCTCTGAGGATCTTGGACTGTGAAAGGGCACCCCAGCTAGGCTGTCCACTGGCTGGTAACATCCCAGTGGTTTGAGTTACAATGACTTAGCAGCCCTGGTATTTCCTAGTATGAAGGGTGCTAGAGCCCTCTCCATGTGAGAGGGAACATAATCTATAACTGTTCTTTGAAGAGATGGCATTTGTAATGAGGCATTCTTGCTGGCAGCCTCCAGAGATCCCTTTTCTACAACCTCTTAATACCACTTTAATGAGTTTCTCACTAAAAACTGTCAAAAGCTCTCATCGACATCCTTGAATATCATTTAGCTAATGACTTATTTAGAGGAAAGGGCACTGTCTTCATACGGAAAAGGATGAGTACTTGGAATATCAAGACAGTTGGCAGTAGGCACTCTGCCCTGAGAGAATGGAAGAACTGGGAAAGAACAGGAAGATAGTTATCAGTGAGAGCAGTTAGAAGTGTGAGATTGATGTGAAATGCAGAAAAAGGAAGTTTAGGGCCGGCCGGTGGCTCACTTGAGAGAGTGCGGTGCTGAGAACACCAAGGCCACGGGTTCGGATCCCATATAGGGATGGCCGGTTAGCTCACTTGGGAGAGCGTGGTGCTGACAACACCAAGTCAAGGGTTAAGATCCCCTCACCGGTCATCTTTAAAAAAAAAAAAAAGGAAGTTTAACAAAAAGCATTCGTGTTTATCTCATACAGAACAGGTTCTGAGCCCCTTCTCAGGATGTGTTTCTGTGGCAGCAAAGGTAATTCAGTAGGTGATCACAGTTTGAGAGCATCCAGTTTCTCCTGATCTCATTCACTGAGCAGTCTTTAAAGGTGAAATGAGTTTTCTTAGTAGATTTTCCTACTGAGAAGTATAATGCCCAGCTGTCATCATTTTAGTTTTAGCAGTTACTATTCCTGTTGTAAATTGGACTTCTGATTTCTGTTCCTTCTCTGGGCAGTTTAGTTAGCAGGAATCAGTTCTTCCTGAGCCAAGTCAAGTGTTTAAACCTGTGAAGCTAAATTTTTAAGCCCTGGAATTCTACAGTCTTATAGATTCCCCAGCACACATCTCATGAACATCTACCACAATCTCTTCTGCTTAAGTCTTTTAGTTCCTAGGAATGTTGATTCCTCCTTCACCCTAACTCAGATCCTGGGAGGAATAGTGGTATGAATAGTAACCCAAAGCTTCAGGGAGAAGAAACTGGCTCCTCCTGCCCTCCTGAGCATCCTAGTGCCCCTCAGGGCACAGGCTTTGAAGGCTTAGGCATAGCCCAGCTTGTGGCCAATATCTTTCCTCTGCCCTTTGCCACACAAGATCCTCAGCTATTTCCATGTACCTCCACCCCATCCTCACTCTCAGATTCTAGAAAACACCAATAAACCCTTCTTTGTGTTACTAAGCCACCTCAGCAGTTATCCCCTCATGTGAATATGAGAAAATTAAATCTAAAGAGGTAAGTGCCTCCATTGGAGTCAAACAGCAAGTTGGTGGTGGAACCAGGTCTAGAGCCCAGGTCTCATGGCTCCAAGCACAGTTTTCTCACTGCATTGTCTTGCTCCTCTGCATTGCTTTGGTTATTTGTATCTGCTGACCTTGGGGGCACTGTAGTGATAGAGGTAAAGTGAAAGATCAAAAGCAGAAAAAATGACAGGCTGGTAACAGGAACTGAAATTATGGAAATGAAGTAAGCAAAGAAGGTACATTGACTCTAGTTTAAGTTCCCATTGCTTCTGGATTAATTTAATCTGAGGATTATAAAGAACACTTTATTCTCATATTTGATTCACAAGTAGAAATTAATCCTTTTCTGTCCTCCAAGTTTTATCATGCTCAAAATGTGTCTGTAAACAAAATATAATTTATAGACGTAGCTAGACTAGGTTTGAGGATAAATGAGAGAGAAGGCAGTAGAAGCTGCCTAGTCCTTCCTGGCTTATATCTTTCATGAGAACCCAATTCTCACATGATTGCTAATGTTTAAACAGTAAATGTCAGAAAAGAGAAAATAGCAAGAGAAAAGAGATTTTCTGTTGACGTCTTTTAAAAAAAAATTTTTTTTTAAGGCTACATACTGATCTAATGAGACAGTGTTCATTGCTTTTCCCAAGGGACACCGCTAGAAGAGGACAACTGGTGAACAACCAGTAGAGAGGAGAGATGCATGGGCAGGGAGCTCAGCGTGCAGGCACGTAGCTGTCAGTCAGAACCGAAGCAGGAGGCCTCAGTGTGCTCACACTGCAGACAGGCCTCCTGTTCCCCAGGCCCCCTGCTTTGGCTGCCTGGTTATGTCCTTGACTTTTTGTTATGTTTTTTCCAGGGGGAGGGAAGTGCCAAGGAGATTATAGTAATATCAGGCATTCTTTTTCTTTTTAAGGAACTTTTCTGGTAATAATTTATTAGAATGCGCTAAGCTGCTAGACTCTCATCTTTAAATATTATGTGTACTTCCACTTTTTAAAAAAAAATTGTTACAGCAAAATATGCATAAATTAAAATATGCAGTTTTAACCATTTTTAAATGTACAAGTCAGTGGCATTAATTACATCCGCAGAGTTGTACAATCATCACCACTATCTATTTCCTAAACTTTTCCATCACCCCAAACAGAAAATCTATACCCATTAAGAACTAACTTCCCATTTCCCTTAGCCCCTGGTAACCTCTAATCTATTCTCTGTCTCTAAGCATTTAATATCAGGCATTCTTAATCAACTGCATGTACCTCCTTAAGTGTAGCAGCAATAGGAAAAAATGCAACCTGAGGTGAAAAGGAAAGGGGCTTATGGATAAAAACTAAATTCTCATTTTTTAAATATGGCTTAATGCAGTTGAAAATTTTTATTATTACTGAGCAATTTTATCCCCACATTCAGAGAAAAATGAAAGTCCCTCTGCTGTGCTAATTCAGCATCTCTTTTTCTTCTTTCAGTGACCATGCAGCAGGTGGCCAGAACAGTGGCTAAAGTGGAACTCTCCGACCATGTGTGTGATGTGGTGTTTGCACTCTTTGACTGTGATGGTGAGTCACAGGGCCCTCTGGAGTCAGGCAGGAAAACTGAACCTCACTGCCCTTACAGACATTGTTTATAACGGAACCTTTGCTCCATTATGTACTAGCTAATACCTCTTCAACCTATCACATTTCCACATCAATAGCTCAGCCCTCAGGATCATGATATTGAGAAATATAACCCCTGATCCTGGTTTATGTTCTCCATTTCTTCTTGTAATTCCAACTTGCCTGTAGGCCTAAATTAATTTATAACCCTAAGGATTTTAAAAATGAAAAACAAAAATATTAGACCCAACCTGCTGCTTAGTAGATAAGGAGCACTCAAGTATTTTAATGTCTCCAGAAAGAAGATGGTACTGATCTCTCCTCCCCTACAGGGCACGTTTCAGTCATTCACATTCCATCTGCTTAGCATCCCAGCACCACACAGTAGTCAATTGTGTCTGTGGCCACTCTGTAGTTTAGCCCATTTAAGAGATCCTGAGCCTGCTGTGGCATTATTTTGGGGCTACGTTGGGTGATGTAATAACAACAACCACAGTGGAAGCTTACATTTTTGTCAGTGCTTACTGTGAGCCAGTAAGCTAATCAGCTCATTTAATCCTCTGACATAGGTATCGCTAGGAACCACATTTTACAGATAAGGAAGCAGGGACTCAGAGAGGCAAGTAAATCTCCCAGGATCACAAAGGTGATAGTAGATGGCAAAACCAGGATTTAAACCAAAGCCATCTGCCTCCCTCAATATATACACTATATTTCCTCTATTGTTTGTCTCCCAGCCAGGATTCATGTTCATCTTCTTCCAGGAAGCTAGGCTAATGGAATCCAAGAACGCAAAGGTGATAGTAGATGGCAAAACCAGGATTTAAACCAAAGCCATCTGCCTCCCTCAATATATACACTATATTTCCTCTATTGTTTATCTCCCAGCCAGGATTCATGTTCATCTTCTTCCAGGAAGCTAGGCTAATGGAATCCAAGAACCAGCTCACAAGCTCCAGCCTAAGTGAAACCTTCCCTTTTGGTTCCAGCATAATGGATCACTCTGACTTTTTCATTCCTTAACCTAGTTCCATTTTTCTGTGTTAGTACATATTACACCCTATCTCTGTGTTTGTGACTTAACTTCCCTATTAAAGTATGAGCTTTTTAAGGGTAGTTACAAGTCTTTTTCACCTTTGGACCCTCCAGAGGATCTCGGATAGTACTTTGCACATAATAAGTGTTCATTAACTTGAGTTATTTAAGTTATTAAATTGAATTTAGGTTTTTTAAATCTCCAGCCTGTACCCACAAACCAAGTTCCGACTCAAGGAAGCCCCAGGGTTAGATTAAGGAAATAGCCTCATTGTCAGGTAGAGGCTATCCAGTCCACAATATGATACCACTAGTCACATGTGGCTAT